CTTTGTTTCTGTGTGTTTCTCCTCTGCAGAGACAGTAGTACGTGTCCTGACCGTCACAAGTTTATTTCCCAGCTAGATCAGTCCGACCTTGCTGCATCAGGTGTAATAGAAGTGAGGACATTTGTATCACTTTGTTTTGTTTTGTGATCGATTAAACAAAAAAGATCTGTTAATTTCACAAACTTTGACTTGACATTTTCTCAACTTGTGTTGTTTGGAAGCCTAAATATCATTCGTTGAAATAATAATCAGTTCTTTGATTTGAAATTGTTAAATTGAGTTTCATCTGCTGCCGAGTACTAATTTGGACCTGTGTTGTGTCTCAGGTTTTACCTCTCTATATCAAGACGGCATCAGTCTTCTTTGGTCGCATCATCAGGAAAGATGACAATGGTTTTGATGGCTTAGCATCTGATATGGCTTCCTACTATGCTGATAAGAAACCAGGAGCCACAGAGTTATTGGAGGGAGGCCTATATGCTGTGCAGGAGGACAACTTCTTCCACAGGTCAGCAACAACACTTGGAGCTGAATGATACTGAATTTTCTTCTGTAAAACTGAAAATAGTTCCACTTGGTGTCTTATATTTTTTTTAACTTTAGCTTATTTCCCCTCTAAGAACGGTATACTCTCTGAATTAGAGCTATGAAGGCAAACACCTGTTAACACAATTGTTTGCACCCTGGCAGGGTGAAGATCCTCTCCGTCCCCGACAGAGGTGACCACCTGTTTTTCAGGGTCTTAGTGCGATTTATCGACACAGGGAAGGAGGAGGAGGTGAAATCCAGTCAGATCCTTCAGCTGCCGGAGCAGTTTCACTCTCTGTCCTGCCAGGCCGTTGAGATCATTGTCTGCCGCGTCAAACCAGTTGACTCAGAGATCGACTGGCACCCAAAGGTTCTGCCGATCACCTCACTTTGCTCTTAAAGATAAACACAATACCACACATTTTTTTCTCTATTACTTTACTTTATTCATCCATTATGTCAGTGGTTGACAAGTAAGTTTGGCCTTGAGTTTTCTAAGCCAGTAGATGGCAGGCCAGAACATTATCAAAGACAAAATCAAGACATTCTTTAAAAGATCTTTAAAAATGCACCTGAAATTTGTGACGGACTGTTACATAATGCTTAGGGGACTGATTCACAGTAATTAAATAGTGTTGTGATGCTGTTAGACACACAAAGCCACAGATGAGGGCCAGTATTTTGGTTTTGCGCAGCAGAATAAGTTTATGATAGTAGTGACACTTAATCTGACTTGTGTCTGAGGTCAAATGCGTGGGAGATGGAAATGTAACCTTACAAATGGGCAGTCAGTAATTCCCTGACATCTTAACCTATCTAACTCCACCAGGTCCAAATAAAGTTTAAAGCTCGCCCTGGCTTGCTCCCTTCGGCTCAAATTACAACGCGGTGACGTCACACGGCGATGTAAAAGAAAAAAGTACCAGTACCCCCGGTACCAATTTAGTAGCAGTATACCGAACAACCCTAGTATACATAGTAAAGCTGGCTAATCCAATATAGTGCTATCGGTGCTAGCACCCATGGGTTTAGGCCTCCTTGCAAACACACCCAAGCCCAAAGTTTTGCAGAAGTCCGTTGGTCCAAACAATGAAGGTTACACAGAGAATGGATATATAACTCTAAATAATGGACTGTTTCTTTCAAACGCTCCTGGGCTTCAGAATTATTCCTTGGCATCAGTCCACCTCACTCAAACAGCAGCATAGATAATGAATGGATCGATGGATTAAAACCGTTTTAAATGATTAGAGTCAATCCGACATAGAACCAATCTATTCTAATGAAATTTAAGATAGATAAGTCTTCTATCAGACTTCCAGACTAACTTTTTACATTGGTTGCACTAATGCACCTAACTTTTTCATTTTGCTTCACCAGCACATAATTGAGGTACACCCAAAAGCTTTCACTGCACCTTTTGGCACCACAATAATACACCTATTATACCTTTTCTTGACAGTTCCCATATACATTCTTGTTTTCTTAACTAGGGCTGAGTATCAACACTGATTTCCCAAATCGATTCATTTCTGACTCACCTGGTCTTGATTTGACATGATTTCCAATTTTGATTCAATCTCGATTTATTTAAGGATATTTCTTTGTACAATACCAATCTTGCCTAGATACGAAAGAAAGTCTCAGAACTAAAGCTATTAACTGCGCAAGGAAACTTTTTACCTGGTGCATAGTTGAAAATATTATGGTAAGCCTGTCATACATT